TGGCAATTCAACGTCTGCGCAACATGACAAAGGGAGGCGGTGCAGCGGGTAAACTCGCTCGCTGGACGATCGGTTACTACGTCATCACCACCATCATCGCTGTCGCACACTCTGCCCTATTAGTCGGCCTGGTCTGGAGTAAACTCATGAACCCAGTCTCGGGAAGTGCTCTGGAACTGGACGATGAGAACAAGGAGCTTGTGGACGAAAGGAAAGAAACTGCCATCCACGATGTCGTCGAAGACATGTTCTTCTCGTTGGTCCCCCAAAATGTCGTCAATGCGCTGGCGACGGATGCCCTTCTTTCAGTACTTGTCACAGCTGTCGTCCTTGGGTATGTCATCAAACCAGGAGGCGCGATCCACCGAGCGGTCGAAGAAGTCGAGGTTATCGTCCTCAAGGTCATCACTGTTTTGATCCATCTCGCGCCAATTGGTGTGTTCTTCTTGATCATGCCGAATCTGTTCCGTCTGGACATTGCTGAGATTGGTGCGAACCTGGGTATTCTCATCGGCGGTACCTTGGTCGGCATGTTCATCCACCTCTTTATCGTCATCCCCATTATCTTCTTCGCGTTTACTAGGTCAAACCCGTACACGTTTTGGATGAAGATGAGCCCAGCATGGATTACCGCCTGGGGAACCGCCTCGAGCGCTGCGACCTTGCCGGTTACCATTCGTTGTGTTTTGAAGCAGGGTGTTCCCATCACAGGTCAGTCTCCATGAACATACGTATCTGATCCCGTTCACTGACACCCGGTAGTAACCAAGTTTGCCGTACCTCTCGGTTGTTTGATCAACATGGATGGAACTGCGATCTATTTCCCGATCGTCGTCGTATTCTTGGCCGCCACTCAAGGCATCACCCTGAACGCTGCGGATTACATCATTGTCATTCTGCTCTCGACTCTCGCTTCGATCGGAACCACACCTATTCCAAGTTCGAGTTTGGTCTTGGTTGTCATGATTGCTTCCAGTGTCAACATCCCAATCACCGGAATGTACGCCGTCGTAATCGCTATTGACTGGTTCCTCGACCGTTTCCGAACCGCAATGAACGTCAGCTGCGATACATTCGCTGCCAGGGTCGTTACGCACATAACGGGGATCAAAGACGAAGATGGCCAGTCGTACGATGAGGCTGAGAACGTCGACCCAAACTCGCTCGGACGAACAGATGAATCCAAGGTATAGATGCTGTCTTCACAGTTTGATGTAGCCGTCTTGAAATCTCCGAATTCATCCGAGCTCCGAATTATATAATGCAATCCTCTTTCGCTCATGCTCAACAGCCTTGCTCCTCTTTGTGATGGTGAAACAAGGTACTCATTTGATGCGATCTGATGGCGTATCGCGCAAGGCAATGGTGTCGACAAGCCATATCGGTATGCCGCATAACAAGCGGACCCGGATTGCGTGACTTGGACGATCGGTTCAACGACGGAACGATGGAAAGAATACGCGAAACCAAAGAGGACATAGTGGAAGAGATGGAAAATGCTGCAGAGCGTTCGTTGCATCTGCCATCGCTCCTGATAAACGCGCGCACGAAGTCTGGAAATGTGGCCGGTCCAGAAAATCAGCCGGCTCGGAAACGTAGCCAGCTCGAAAACGTGAGAGTCGGGAAAAATAGCATGACCATGACCCCGCGGATCTGGTTGTTGGTCAGGACCGCGCAGTGCAGTTGAAAGACGGCATCCGTGGGCGTCTTCGTGATGATGCAGTCGAACGCTTCGTCGTGGCGGTCGAGAGGAAGCTTCGCTCCACTTCGCGCCGCATCGCGGGTCTTGGCGCGTCAGCTGCTTTCTCACCCAGCCATCATTGCGTCATGAACACGAGGCACGATTGAGATGTGCCTGCAACAGAAACGAACGCGTTCTAGTCGCGACTCTTACGCGGAGTGGTTCTATTGAGTGCTGAGGAGATAACTGGCATGGAGGGATGGTTCATGTCGTCGCGTATGACGACGTTCTGGTCCGGCACCATCCAAGGTACGCGTTCTGACCCCTATCAGTCTTTACTTCCTCATACGAGGTCTTGCATCATCTCATGTTCTCGTTCGAACATTTTCGTACAGCTCAACGCCACGCGATAGTCAACTTTTCGCCTCTACTCTATCACACGACGTGGAAAGTCGCGTCGTTGGGCGAGGTGTGTGGTATCGGCGACCCTTGTTGATGCACAACCCGTTTGCTTGCAGTCCTGTCGCAACCTCGAACCATATCCGGAGCGATGCACTTAGAAACACGTGGTGTATATATGAAGACTTTCAGCACGGCCTCGCGCCTCGCGACTGCAAGCATCTTCGCCCTTACGGACCGCTCGCGCATCTGCGACGATGGCTGAAGAGAATGATACGTAGCTTAGAGCGCCCATGGCGATCAGGACACAACAAAGTTCACACTTGGATCGTTGCGCTATCTGCAATCAAGAGTCCTCGCAAAACCGATCAACGGCATGGCAAGAGTGCCTCCGGGTTCAAAGGGTACTAGAGCGAGAGTGATAACTAATCCTCCCGTCATGCTAGCAACAATTTACTCCGGCACGTGGGCTGGAGCTCCAAGAGATGCAAATTACTATGAGCAATGGCTACAGGCCCGTTCTTCCACGTACTCGGTTTGCCCTACTTCTTTGTAGGTCTCCCTGGATACCAATGTTCTGGAAGATCTGGTTCATGTGCGGAAGCTCTAATTAGTCAATTTGCACCAATCAGCAGCCAGATCGGATGCTTGGCCATTGCGATCTCAATATATCGCGGGGAAGACTAACGCAGAGTGCAAGATGATCTCGTGAGAAGCCTCTCCGTGTCCAGAGTGGTATAGCGTCAAAATGCTCAGAAACCGAAACGGTACATATGGTTGCAATACGCGTAGAAAATGAGGAAACCAACTCAAGCAGAAAGACTAACCAAGATGTTCTACGGCCTTGCTTCGCTTTTACTGCTAGCTACTAGTACTTCGGCTGCAGTAGTTGGCAGGAAAGCACCCGCTGGCTTTGTCACAACCAAAGGCAATGCCTTCAAATTAGACGGAAAAGACTTCTACTTCGCAGGCAGCAATGCCTATTACTTTCCCTTCAACGACGTCAGTATATGCTACTTCATCTGCCACGCCTACTGAACTTTACAGCTCCAATCCGATGTAGAGGCTGGCCTGGGTGCCGCGAAGAAGGCTGGACTCAATGTCTTCAGGACATGGGGCTTCAACGACCGGAACAGAACAACACTCGCGAACGGACTACCACAGTACGGTGGTGAAGGTGCCGGTCCTAGTCCGAACGTCATGCAATGGTGGAGCAACGGAACACAGGAGATCAACCTAGTACCGTTCGACAAAGTCGTGAAGGCTGCGGAGAAAACTGACATGAAGCTCATCGTTGCTTTGACGAACAACTGGGCCGACTATGGTGGCATGGATGTCTACACGACGAACCTCGGCTACAAGTACCATGACGATGTAAGTCACACAGTTCTTTCTGCATGATCACAGATTGACGTAGTCATCGTTAGTTTTACCATGTTCCAGCCATCAAGAAAGCGTACAAGAAGTACGTCAAGGAGATCGTCAAGCGCTACGCCAAGTCTTCGGCCATCATGGCGTGGGAGTTGGCGAATGAACCACGATGCGGTGCTGATGGTGTGCGCAACTTGCCGCGCAGCGAGAACTGCACTCCGGACATGATCACCGAATGGATCGATGAGATGAGCACATACGTCAAGTCACTCGACAAGGACCATCTTGTTACATGGGGTGGTGAAGGAGGCTTTAACAGGCCTAGTGACGATGGCTTCTACAATGGATACGATGGTGGCGACTACGACAAGGAGTTGGCGCTCAAGAACATCGACTTCGGTGTCTTTCATACCTATCCCGATTGTACGTATATCTCACTCGACAGGCATCAACATCACCATTCTTTGAGCTACACTGACTGGACTTGCAATAGGGTGGTCAAAGACCGTTGAATGGGCAAACCAATGGATAATCGATCACGCCGAAGCCTCCCGTGCGGTTGGAAAGCCAGTAGTACACGAAGAATATGGATGGCTAACCGACGACAAGAGGCAAGAATACCTCAGCAAGACCTCGAACGTTACCAGACTCGAAGCTATCGGACTGTGGCAAGCTACCAGTCTGAAGGAGAAGATGCCGGATATGTACTGGCAATTTGGATACGCAGGCTACTCTTACGGCAGGAACCACGACGACGGTTTTACTATCTTTTTGGAGGACGCAGAGGCCAAACCGCTTGTTTACGAGCACGCGAAGAAGGTCAATGCTTTGAACAAGAAGTAGGATGTTGGAGTGTCTGGTTTGTCCTGCGCCTGTCTCGCAGCAAACATTTGATGCTGTATTTACCAGTCCTCTGTCTTCCTGAAAAAGGTTTTTGCTTGTTTGGTAATGCGTCCAAAATTGGTGGTGTCTTTGTGCACATTGGTTTGGTTTGCGGAGTGTTTCCACAATGTACATATTCGAACACTTTCACTTCCTCCCCACGCCACTCGTTATTCCATTCGACCCTGTGAACGGAAAGGGGTTGCAGCAGCCTAATCCATTATTTCAGGACTACATCAACGTGCTTCTTCGATCCTGCCAAGACGAATAGGTTGCACTCCTCTTCCGTCCGACTATACCACACTAGCTTCCGCTACTACAGCCGCCTGAATCTATACCATCCTAGGCCTGTTATTTTACGCCTATACTCAGACTATCTCACACACAACCTCAAGTCAACCACCCGATTCTGTCGGCGATGTGCGGCTTCACATGCATTACATACAGCGAGTGCGCCCACACCGCGCTCTCAACGAAGCCCGAACACACGTCTCTTTGCTTTAACGCGAAGGAAATACACTTAGTCCAAGGTGTCGACTGCGCACCCGCGAACTGTGTCCCGACTAATGACACAGAGACCCCGATTGCTGCCGAGAATACCATCTTTGATTACTGCGATGAATGCCGAGCCGAAGCACGCGCTGCTAAACCGATTGAGCGCGGTGAAATGGACGATATCGTCCAGGCTCATGCGCACGTAAAAGAAGACGATCAAGGCTCGTACGACGAAGATGAGACGGACCAGTTGCAGGATCTAGCCACCTACCTCGATGTAAAGCATGCTGCTGGCCTAGAGATTGTTCAACAACTCAAAGCTTTACCATCAAATCCCGTTGCGCTCTCGCATATCACAGACCCCGAGCTTCGCGCCCTTCTGTGTGCACCAGATGTGGAAAAGCACTTCGCTACGTTCAAGTACTGCTCCGAACTCTTTCCAGTAATGGGTAGTTACATCCAACAGCGCGCTCCAAACAAGCTGTTTGTAGAGACATTCGTGTACATGCGCGACAAAGCGAAGAAAGCAACGATGTTACTAGAGTGTTTCCAGATCGTCATCGAGTGCCTGCTAAGCTACGAGCCCTCGCGACCGGAAGAGCACTTCAACGGTAGCGAAGCCCGATTAGAGTTCTTTGGCGATATGCTCAAGTGTATGATTACCGGTAGGGATTTGAAGTCCCTCCGATCGCCTTCCATTTCCATGAGAATAGCTTTGTAGTTCCCGAAGCCACCCTTCAGCAGCTTGAAGCGGACCAAGACGTTCCCTTAGCCCTAATCGAGAAACAGGAAGAGAACTCTGACAAGAAACCGGCCCGGAAGGAACGTGGTGTTCTGAATATACACCATCTGGCGTTCGATCCGGAGTCACTGAAAGGTCTACTAGATGACGAACCGTCCCGTGACATCGAGGCAGTACAAGTTGCGTTTCTGCAAGATGAGAATGAGGTGGGTATAGATGTGGAAGATGAGCAGGGTAACAAGCTCGTTTGGAGAGATGGCAAGTCGCACATCATCCTGGCTGTCATTAAAGCTGAAGACGAGACCACTGTCAAGAAGATGGATGACCAACCGAAGAAGCCTACACATGAGCTTCAGACTGCGCCAAGGAAGACGCCAATCCAAATAACGGGCGGCTTTGGTTTCGATTACTCAGATGACGAAGACGATACACTCTTGAACAATGAGGTGGACGAGACTAAGGTCATCGCGGACAAGAGCAACGATATATCTTCAGATCCGTCACCCTACCTATGCATACCTTCGTCACCGCCAATATCGGCCGCAGACGGTCCATTCAAGTCTAACTTACCCAATATCTCTTCTCCATCCTCGCCGACCCTCCCAACTCTTCCGAACAAATCCAAAAATAAAGACGCGAAAACGAGTCGATCTAACAGTGGTTCCTCCTCACCATCGTCACGTAAGCGCAAGTCGTTATCAAGCGAGTCAAGCGAAGACAACAAAGACACCAGCGGTGACTATAAAGAAGGAGGTAAAGAAAACTCCGACCCTCCCATGAAACGAAGCTGCAAAACCAGTCTATCATCCGACTCTTCCTCCTCTCGCTCTACAACGCCCCTAGAGGCGAAGTTGCGCAGCTCTCCATCAGCACCAGCCTCACCTTTAGCAGACCTACCCCCTCTACCATCTTCACCTGCATCTCCAGATAGTTTGTCTTTGTGTTCTGCATCGTCTTATGTGGACTCCGTATCACCGTCTCAACCGCCTGATGCGCCCCTTCCGCCGCAGCCAACGACACCGCAGCGGCGCATGCAGACGCGTGCTATGACACGAAGTGCGAGTACCACCCCAGCGCCTCCGGATGCGGCATCTACGAGAGCAACGCGTTCGTCGGGTAGGTCGTAGAAGGAACAGTGTCAGCGTAAGACGCAGAGGAGACTGATGAGATGGAGGAGACTGAGAGAGAAGAGAGGAATGAGAGAGAACAAGGCCAGATCGCAGGAAACTGCATGAGAGATATCCTAGCGGCTTGAAGTCTCATGGAACTGTGTTGTCGTGATAGGCGTTCGTGCGATGCGTTTTGTCGACAGTTATCGTGTGTTTTGTTAGGACTAGCTTCTACGACTATTCCATTCCTTTAATCAATAAGAGTGCCAAATATGTAGTCTTGAGGGTTGTGACAAAATGAACGAATTCGTGAACGAATTCGTATTCAAGAAGAACAGCAGAGCTTTTGTGGGTATCAAACGACTCACTACGCCCCGACTAAACCATGCGCATGTATTAAGTATGGTGTCGTATGCTCCACAATGACAAGCGTACGCAAGCGCGGAGAACCTCGATTGAAGTTGCAAACGTAGCTCATTCAGAGTCGTCACCTCCGCTGTCGCCGTTCTTATCATCCTCCTCGTCTTCTGATTCGCCCTGGACATCGTCGTCATCATCGTCATCGTCGTCTTCGTTATCATCGCCGCCAGCCTCTTCCTCGCTATCGTCTTCCAGTACGACCTTTTGTTGTGGCACAGGTTTGGCTGCTGCCCTTCGGCTTGGCCGACCCGTAGCTGTGACTTCACTTGCCTTTCCCCATGCCGCTTCGCCCTCTTTGATTGCCTCGAGGTCTTTCGCGAACTCCCTCTGCTCTTTGATCTTGGCTGCCTTTTCAACCGAGTATTTGCCATCCATACCCACGTCCTTCAACCAGCCCTTGAGCACGCGGATCTTGTCCTTCGAGGTGTCGCACTGTGAGAGCTCGGGGTCGCGCGACCAGACTTTTCGGATGCCGCACTTCACGAGCCAGCCTTGGAGTCGCTTGACTTCGGCGGTGTCGGGGTCATCCTCAGTCTTCGCTTTCGGCGCGGCTTTCGGTTTCGCTGGGGCTTTTTCTTTCTTGCCCTTCGCTGCAGGGGTTTTCTTCTTCTTCTTGGGCTCTTCGTCTATGACGCTGGATAGATCACTATCAGATTCGTCGCCCTTTGTGTCTGCCTTTTTCGCTGGCTCGGGTTCGGCGTCGCTCTCATCATCAACCACGGCGCCGGGTCTGGACGTCGGCTTCGGCGAGTCCTCCTCATCCGAGTCTTCAGTCACAGTCTTCTTCCCTCGCCGTACTAGCTTCTTGGGTGGCTCGCTCTTCGCATCGAATATCTCTGCGGGTGGTTCTGAGAGCTCAGCTTCAGACTCTTCGGACTCGGTCTTCGCGCGCTTCTTAGGTTTCTTGGCAGGTGCCGCAGCCTTGCGCTTGGTGCCTCTGGCGTTCTCGGTAGCAGCTTTGGTCTTCTTTTCGGCGGGCTTCGCTTTGGGTTTGGGGGCGGCTTTTTTGGGAGTAGGCTGTGGTGTGGGCTCATCGGAGCAGAACTTCTCCTACATGTTTTTAGCACCTGATCAGGAATTGGAAGTTGGGCTTCATACCACTGCGTCTACAATGAGTTTCTGCGATTTCTCTTTCCATGTTGAGTCTGTCTTGAAGAAGCCCTCGTCTAGGGCTAGTTCCTTCTCTGCGCGCGCCCGAACGCGCTTCACAGTCAGATCCTCGCTTTTTCCAGATTTGTGGATTGCAATGACAATGTCGCGCAGTTTGTTTGAAATCGTCGCCTCAGAGGGCCGGTCTGCTTCGGAATCTGACATGATGCGCAGCGCGTTCGTAGATGGTGTTGATGATCGACGGCCGTACGCGATAGACGCGGCGGTTAGGGCAGGCACGTCGCCGGTAGCGTACACGTGACTCCGCGGAGAGACCCAATGGCGTCAAGTGGCATCAAGGCCCGCGGGGAGTTTGTCGTGTCGAGCCACGGCGATGTATCAGTTGAATCCCATTCCTTCCTGCTGATTGCATGAATAGCATGGCATTGCCAATGCAGATGCCCATAGATGATGCTGGGCGCCGCCCTTTGACGTCGAGTTGGTCTGTGAGCGCCCCGCGTCTGCTGGGTTGGGCAGCTCCACGACCGACGTCACATTTATTCGCAAGTTTCACACAGACACCGCCAGCTTCATTCAGTGTTTTCCAACGCGGCCTACACCTGTCAGCGACCGAGCTGCATGCCGCCAGTCCCGACCGCCCCTAGCCCCAGTCATCTTTAACTTTAGCAACTGCCCGGGTTGTAACTGCGCCCTGCCGTCTGCCAACTCTGGTCGCTTGAGCTCGGAACCTGCGAGAAGCCGCCTCCACCTTCGAGCGGGCCTTGATCTATTATCATTCTTTCGTCACGCCAGCACCACAATTAAAATAACTGATCCCTCCCCCCTCGCGCCAAAGGAACCTACCCACACCGCCTGCTCACCGGCCCCAGCCACGTTGCGGAGGTGAATGCTGACCTCGCCCAACACCCTACGCCGCAGATAAATTTCCTGTCAGGAGTTTCGCGACTCAACCACCTTACAACCCCCACTATCCAACACATCCATCGCCAAGATGTCTAACGCGCCCACAACCCTCAAGCAGCCCGAGTCGTCGGAGGGACGTCTGCTGCTCGTGTCGAATCGACTGCCCATCACCATCAAGCGCTCCGATGAGGGCAAGTACGACATGTCCATGTCCTCAGGAGGACTGGTCAGCGGTTTGAGCGGACTCTCCAAGACCACCACCTTCCAGTGGTATGGCTGGCCCGGACTTGAAGTCCCCGAGGACGAGACAAAGACCTTGAACGACCAGCTCAAGGAGAAGTACAACGCGGTACCTGTCATGCTCGACGATGAGCTCGCAGACAGGCATTACAACGGATTCTCAAGTGAGACTACCAATACCAGATTATATCGCTACAAGCGCTAACAGCCGTAGACGAGATCATGTGGCCGCTCTTCCACTACCACCCCGGTGAGATTACCTTCGACGAGTCCGCTTGGGACGCCTACACCGAGGCCAACCGCCTGTTCGCAAAGGCCGTCGCAAAGGACGTACAAGATAACGACATGGTCTGGGTGCACGACTACCACCTAATGCTCATGCCTGCCATGTTGCGCGAGGAGCTCGGCAATACCAAGAAGAATGTCAAGATCGGCTTCTTCCTGCACACGCCCTTCCCCAGTTCCGAGATCTACCGAATCCTCCCCGTCCGCAATGAGATCTTGCTCGGCGTTCTGCACTGCGACCTCATCGGCTTCCACACATACGACTATGCTCGTCATTTCCTGAGCAGTTGCTCGCGCATTCTGTAGGTATCAGCCTAAGGGCAGACTTCGCACTTACTAACCCAGACCAGGGGACTTGCCACAACACCAAACGGAGTCGAGTTCAAGGGCAAGGTCGTTACTGTCGGCGCGTTTCCCATCGGTATCGATCCCGAGAAGTTCGACGAGGGTCTCCAGAAGCCCAAGGTACAAGAGCGGATAGCAGCCCTCGAGAAGAAGTTCCAGGGTGTGAAGCTCATCGTTGGTGTTGATCGCCTCGACTACATCAAGGGTGTACCACAGAAGCTGCACGCACTTGAAGTCTTCCTTACCGAGCATCCAGAATGGATCGGCAAGGTCGTGCTTGTACAAGTCGCCGTTCCTTCTCGGCAAGACGTCGAGGAGTACCAGAACCTCCGCGCAGTCGTCAATGAGCTCGTAGGACGCATCAACGGCAAGTTCGGCACGATCGAGTTCATGCCCATCCACTTCATGCACAAGTCAGTCTCTTTCGACGAGCTTATTGCGCTCTACGCTGTCTCAGATGTCTGTCTTGTGTCTTCGACACGCGACGGTATGAACCTGGTGTCCTACGAGTACATCGCGACACAGGAGAAGCGACACGGTGTCATGATCTTGTCCGAGTTTACCGGTGCTGCACAGAGCTTGAACGGCAGTCTTATCGTCAACCCATGGAACACCGAGGAGTTGGCAGATGCTATCCACGACGCAGTCACCATGGGCGATGAGCAACGCAGCCTCAACTATCAGAAGCTGTCGAAATACGTCCGGAAATACACTAGGTAAGCACCCACGATCACATCTCGACCGACACTTTCTAACTTCACATAGCGCATGGTGGGGCGAGTCGTTTGTCACCGAACTTAGAAGGATCTCGGAGACGCCAGACCGCAAAGTACACTTCGCTAACGCTCCGGTTGCGGGAGTTGATGACTCTACAAAGACTGCTGGTGAGACGAGCTCAGAGCTACCAATTCGTCAGGAGACCGGCAACAAGGACAAGGAGTCAGACCCTGCTGCTGCTGTCGATGCTCAAAAGGAGACCGCCGACGGCGCATCTAGCCAATAGGCCCTGTGCCCTACGGTGAGCACCTCTGATTATTACGACGGATGATTTCATGTGACGAAAGTTCGGCGTGATGGATTCGCGTGGGTTAGACGATTGATGAAGGTTCCGATTCTCACAGTACCCCCTCAATTACTAGATCTTCTTACCTAGAAGCTGTAGTGAAAACATCACTGCAGTAACAATATACCCCTTCTACACACGACCTTGTTCTGTGTACTCTGATCGTGACTGTTTTGTTCCGCGAGTGAGTTCGTAGCTTCGTGAAAATTGAGTATGCGAGAGCGTGGGATGTTCCTGCCTCCGAAGGTCCCTGCCAAGCCATTAGCGCGTCATCATGCTGGCGCTTTCGCAAACCTCACCCCCAATTGCGCGTCTTCTACCCCCAACCCCCATCGCGCCGACGAGAAGACTTCCACCAACAACTTCGGAAACGATTGGTAACGACTTTGACTTCACGCGTTAATATGAATCAGTCTTTGATTTTGGCGCACAAAACACGATCATAAGATAGCATAATGGAGCGGCCCGCGTGTTTTATTAGGAGTCTGACTACCTATGACGCTAATATGACCGGATCTCAACAGTCGATGTACTCAGCACCGCCTATCTACCACTCAGTCATAACGCCAGAAAGCTCAAGCTCTACGAGTCGAACAACGCGTACGTGTCCAACTGTTGCGTTAACTCAGAAGAAACCCCAGCCACCCTTTCC